TGTTTCCTGAGGAACAAAGACATTAAGTGACTTGCCCAGGGTCACACAGCTAGTAATTGGCAGAGAGGGATGGGAACCAAGTCTTCCTGACTCCAGGCCCATTGCTGGATCCCCTAGATCAGAGCCTGCAGCCTTGAGGCCACATGTGGCCTTCTAGGTCCTCAAGTGTGGCCCTTTGACTGAACCCAAACTTTACAGAATCACAAACTTCACAGAAAAGTTTGGATTCAGTCAAAGGGCCACACTTGAGGACCTAGAAGGCCACTTGTGGCCTCGAGGCCGCAAGTTCCCCATCCCTGCCCTCGACCACATGTTGTTTCTCTTACCTTTAACCAATGTTTAAAGGGTTGGCATGTGGAACAGGGATTTCTGGGTTTAGTCCCAGAGGAAAGAATCCACATCCTGATTTTGGAGCTGGAAGGGTCCTGAGAGGCCAACTAGTCCAACTCTCATTTTACAGATGAAGAAACTGAGGATCAGAGAGGGGAAGGGACTCACCTAAGGTCACACAGGCAGGAAATGTCAGCAATGGGATTTGAATCCAGGTCCTTGGACTCCGTGTGAGGTGGTGCTCTCTCTGCAGTACTGCTCTGCCCCCAGTCACTTGCCTGCCTCAGACATTTAGTAGCTGTGTGACCCTGGGTAAGGTCTGAGTCGCTGTCTGCCTCAGTTTCCTTACCTGTAAAATGGAGAAAATAATAGCACCCGCCTCCTGAGATTGCTGTGAGGATAAAGTAAGGTAATACGTGTAAAGGGCTTCGCAAACCTGAAAGTGCTGCAGAGAAGCTAGCTAGATATTATTATTATTATTATTGTCACCCAACGTCATACAGGTTGTAACTAGTAGAGCTGGGAGTTGTGTGTGTGTGTGTGGGGGGGGGGTTCAGTACCACGCGGACTAGGAAAGCCAGTTCAGCTCCAAGATTACCTCTAGAAAGACTTCCTGATCTCCCTAGTCAGAAATGATGATGATGATGATGATGATGATGATAACACAACTGGCATGTTTTAAGATTTGCAAAGGAAACCATCCCATTTATATTTATTGTGTATATACTCTGTGTTGCATTATTTATGTATGTGTCCTCCCCTCCCCCACGGGAAAATGTAAGCCCTTTGAGGGCAGGCAGGGACTGTTTCAGGGCAGCTAGGGGTCACAAGTGGATAGAGAGCCGGCATGAGAGTCAGGAGGACCCGAGTTCAAATCCAGCCCCAGATACTTCCCAGTTGTGTGACCCTGGGAAAGTTACTTGTCCCTGTTTGCCTCAGTTTACTCCTCTGTAAAATGAGCTGCAGAAGGAAATGGCAAATCCCTCCAGTATCTTTGCCAAAAAAGAACCCCAAATGGGGTTGGAAAACGACTGAACAAAAGGGGCCACTTCACTTTTCTCACCTTCCCCCTGTGCCTAGCTTAGTGACGGGTATATAGTAAGAACTTAGTAAATGTTCAAGTCCAATTGCCCCAATTGATTTTCCCCTCCTGGGAATTCTCTCTAAGCACTTGTGCTGTTCCATTTTTTAAAAAATGTCCCTGTATATATCACCTGCTAGACTGTAAGCTCCCTGAGGGCAGGAGCCATAGCTGACTTCTTTCTAAAGAGAATTATAAAGTAGGTTGTCCTGTTCCCTTCCAGCTCTTTGAGGATTTGTAAACATTGCCCACTCGCTGCTATTAGGCCCAAGTATGAACTTGTCCTGGTTTCTCTCTTCCTAGAAATAAGGCCTAGACTTGTGATTTCACTGGTATAGAGAACTTCCAGATGAGGAAACTCTCTCCACCAGAGCAAGCTGGCGCCTTTCGCTGAAGCTTGGGGTCCCAGAGGGTTGCCTGGGTGGGCAGTGAGAGGTTCAGCGACTTGCCAGGTTCTCAGGGTCAGTCTAGGTAAGGCAAGGCTCTAACCTAGGGGGTCTTGGCTTCCAAGGGCTTTTCAATCGTGCTTGCTGGCTATTGTGAAAAAGGGCTGAGCCTTGGGCGGACAGTGGCGAGGGCCAAGTACACAAGCGCCAGTGAAGCCTCTACAAGCTGCCAGCAGATCATAAACTGGTCTAACAGGAACTTATCTCTTCTCTGGAAGTTCCTGGCTCCCCAGACACGCAATAGGGCCTTCCACAGAACCCGGATGCTACACGCTGGCGGCTTCTAGATGGGCCTGCTTCGGCTGATAGTGAAAGGGGCCAGATTAACTTGCCCCAGGGCATCTGGGCTTCCTACCAAGGCCTGGCACCGTCTCAGAGGGAGGAGGCTTCCTTTCAGTGACAGATTTCTGTGGAAGAGGCCAGACCTTACCAGCTGTCCAGACTTTCTTAACCTCTCACTTGAGCCCCCGAGCTTGGCGAGACTGTGGTGGGAGGCCAAGGAAGACCTCGGGTGGGGTGATGTCACTAGGCATCTTCAATTCATATAGCCCCAGACAGGAGACTTAAAAACAAAACAGCATTTGAACCAATCCTACCATCATGTTAGTGTCAGAGGAATTCAGGAAGCCCTGAATGTCCAGGGCAGTCCATCTTCCTCTACTGCTGCATGAGCCCCCACCTTGGGTCCCCAAGGCTGGCACCTTTCTGCCCACTCCAGCTTCTGACCAAGGCACATACGGCTGGGTGGCCTGCAGGGTTTCTTGGGTAACAGCTCAGGGAGCCAAGACCCCTGAATCTCCTCATCTCTACCTCAGCCTCTCTCCTGAGCCTCTTCCTCCCATCCCCCCAAGGAGAGAGTGGCCTGCTGAAAACGTATGGTTTGCAAACACCCTGCAACCAAACGTTGCTTTGTGACTTTTATTTACTGTAATGTTTTCTTCCAGTGACTCAGCACAGAAATAGCTCTGAGGCCTCTGCCTTTGCTCCCTTCCCTTCTCTCTCAGCACCCCGTTCTTTTTTCGTGCCCTTCTGCTCCTCACCCAGGCGCTCCCCCTCCCCATCTTTGTCTTCCTCCTTGCACCTTTGGTTCTAATTTCTCATTTCTATGTCTCCCTACTCCTCTTTCTCTTCTCTTTCTCTTCCCCCTTTTCTCTCTTCTCTCTTTTTTTCTCTCTCTCCTCTCTTCCTTACTTTCTCTCTCTCCCTCCCTCTCCCTCTGCCCCCTTTCTTTCTCTCTTTTCTCCTTTCTTTCTCTCTTCTCTCTCCCTCTCCTCCTTTCTCTCTTTCCTCTTTCTCCTTCCCATTTTCTCTCTCTCTTCCCCTTTCTCTCTC